CTTGTGCAAAAGCCACCACTGGAATGAAAAAGGCAGCGTATTGTCAGTGCGAACAGGTTCTTGGAGGTAACTGGAACTACTTTGAAGACTGTTTGATCTTACCACTCAAACCCTTAGCACAGTTGGCCCGTAAGTTACCACCAATGAAATGAAGCATCTGTAAGGTTTGGCTAAGATATTTGATCCACTGGGAGTTATCTTGCCAGTTAAATTTCAGATAAAGATACTGTTTCAAGAGCTCTGCAAACAGAAAATTGACGGGGATGACCCGCTACCAACTGGAATAAAGTAAGACTAGGCTAGTTGGTGCAATGAACTCACAAGGATTGAGCACGTAAAAATTCCAAAGTCTCCAAACTCATGGGGATGAACAACATCCTGTCAATTTTATCGGGTGGACCCCAGGAAACAATTCTCGGACCAGTTTTATTTATCTTATATGTCAATGACCTCTCATCCGAAATTTCGTCCAGGTTAAACTGTATTCAGATGACAACAAAGTTTCTAGAGAAATCGCCGACATTACTAAATAGACGGACGCTCTTCAGTCTGACTTGTTCCGCCTCAAGGGTAGGTCTGATACCTGGTGACTAGATTTCAATATGAGTAAATGTGAAGTTATGCGGGTAACACAAGCTCAAGACAAATCTGTCCCGAATTACACACTTGTCCCTCATGGAGAACAATTCAGTGCCTTCTGTAAAAGACCTCAGCATTACAAACTTGTGCAGCCTTTCAAGGACTTCACACATAGTTGAGGCGGTTAACAAAGCAAATAAATTTCTTGGTCTTATAAAGCGTACAGTCAGTTCTGCAGAAAAGAGCATTTTCTTCACTTTATACAAGTCTCTCGTTAGACAAATACTTGAGTATGCATCACCTGTATCGAGTCCGTTTCTTGTCAGACATTGCCCATTTAGAAAAAGTCCAGAAAAGGACATCGCAGTTGGCCTTAGGTCAGCGAAGGGGCAAAATGCCTTTCCAAGATCGTTGTGAAGCCCTGCAATGGTTGTCGCTGAGTAATAGAAGATTGTACTTTTCCTTGATTTAATGTTATAAATTGTATTTGAATTAAGCAATTTCCTTTTTTGTCATTACTTTGGCCTTGCCCCTTATAAAGGTTACCAGATCCGATCACAGCTACAAGTTACAAGTAAAAATGGTGAAGTGTAGCTGTTATAAGTGTTCTCCACTGCTGAGCATAGTCTGCTTTACCCTGGAATGGGTGTCCGAAATGGTCCCATTTCATGTTATGACCAATTGATGTGACATGGTCGGCACCTGCAGATGGGTGATTGTTACATGAAATGGATACGAGCTGTTCTGTTTTCCTGACTGGTACCATTTAAACTTTATAATAGTAATACTTATAGTAATGATAATAATTCATTCTTTCTTTTTTTTTCGTTTTTGCAGGTACTAAAAAGCACAACCAAAAATTTTTTTGCTCCCAATTGGGAAAAAAGTTATTAAAAGTTGTTTTCTAGTGGCCAGAAAATTTCTGAGGTAAACGCTAGATAAAATCGATGAAGGTAATCATTTTAACAACCAAACATTTTTCAGTTACTGCATCAAATATAAACAGGGTCAACCAAGTGAGCAAGATCAACCTAGTTAACATCGACCTTCTCCTCCTTACTCTTGTTATCAAGTTACCATTCAAACTCAATCAAATAACCCGAAGCGAGCAACTCCCTTTCTAGAGGTATTTCACGGCGGCATCGCGAACTCGTTATATTTTTAGATAAATTTTCTGGCGTTTTTTTTCAAGCCGATATTAAATTCCACTCTGATCATAAACGCATTCTAAGACATTCGGGTCTTTTGCTTTAGCTGCCGAGATTCCGCGTAGTTACTAAAACATGGAACGACCTAAAACCACCTCAAAAAATTCAACAACCACCTACAACCACCTCAAAAACATCTACAACCACTCGCAAACAATCTAAACCCATCTAAAACAAGGTATAAATGTCTGAAATAAGGCGAGACGACAACGTGTCACGTACATGAAATACGAGAATCGAATAAAACATCCGGCACTTCCCCTTAAAATCTTACTCTCCCATGATGTTAGCCGGACATACTTCTAATGCATGTTGCGCTTTACTGTTGAAATTCGCCCTCAATGTACATGAAACAGCAGTACATTAAACTTTCTGTCACCTAAACAACTCTTACAGCAAACCTGTAAATTAAAAGACCAATCCAAAGCGCATGAAAGCGCTTCCATTGAGATATGGACTTCAGACCCTAGTCACTCAATTCAAAAAAGTCAACAAACTCAGCCAGCCAGCAAGTCAACAAAATCACAAAGTTGTTGCACGGAAATCACACCTTGTGTCAGGGGATACTGAAAGATTTCAGTTGCTTGGACTATGTTCCAGAAAATTAATACAAGAGTAATTGGCAGGCCTACAAGCAGTGCGCATGCAAAATCTTAAAAGATTTCATATTTCTAGCCAGAATATACCACTGAAAAGCGGTTCAGATCCTCGACTGAAAAGTGCTTTGAGTGCCGTGAAGTCGGCAGATACATTAAGAATTGGGTAACGGCAATGAAGAACGTGGACAAAGCCTCCCAAATGAAACAGCAGACGCCAAACAGCCATTTCCCCTGGAAATTTTCTGTCACCAAACAGTAAAAGCAAGCGCACAAGGAACCTTTGTCAGCAAAGATTATAGACCATCAAGCAGGTGTTGAAGTTTTACAAAAAAAACAAGGTTGACCTACCTAGCAATCAGTCAAAGAAACTTTGTCAATTGATTTAGGCAATTGAAAGTTCAGAGGCTGGGAAGAGAGAGCTTGGCAAAATAGTACAAGAGGGAAATCAATTCAAGGGCAAAGGGGGGTCTTGAAGCTGGTGACTGTGTCAGTGAGACATGGCGCAAGGACAGGGAAGAGTTTTTCAAAGACAAGCAAAACAATGGTGAGAAAGCTCCATTATAAATTAATGCTTAATTTTCATGAAGATTTGCTTCCCTTCGAATATTTTCATGCCTGGCAACAATTTTATTATTTTAAGTGCAAAAATTCATTAAGCTTAATTAATTTTAGTGTCTCAGGTTGTAGGGATTTCGAACTACATGTACGTTTCAATTGATAGCTATTTATGTTTTGCTTTCTTTTGTAGAGCGGTTAAAGCACAGGAAGGTGAAAATTTTTACTGACAACCAGGGTGCTGCCAGAGAACTTTCCTTTGGTGGCTTTAAGGTCCTACAGTCGGTGGCTCTAAGCACTTTTCATGATTGTTTTTGCATGGTATTGCCTTGAAAGTGCAGTGGATTCCTAGATTGCTCAACAGGAAGGCTGATCTTTTGCGCTGTTCTATTTGACAAGGATGATTCGCATGCTAATCCCTCTGTGTTTCGAGTTGTTGAAGCCAAATGGGGTCCTCGCACAAATCTTAACCATTTCACATCCTGTTATAGCGCACTCAGCTTCCGCGTTTTGACACCTAGTTTGCTTCTCCTGGTTGTAGGTGTGTCCGATGCCTTTGTCCCAGACTGGAGTGGAAAGGATAACTGGATTTTTCTTTCCAGTGGGTCGTGTAGTAGCAGCCTGATTTGGTATATTTCTGTACCCGGTTTGGCATATTTGTACAGCATGTGAGCCTTATTTGGCTTATTTTTTAGCCTAATTTGGGATAATCTTGAGCCTCGAGCCTGGCACAATCTTGAGCCATGATCTGAAAGGTGTGTAATACCTTTATTCCCAATGGGTTTGTGAATAATGTGGATCTGTTGCACGATTTTAAAAGCACTTTTGTCTCGGCTGCTGATCGTCATGCACCCATCATACAAAGACATGTGAGAGGGATGGCTGAACAAAGAGATCAAATCAGTCATGCATCAGCGGGACTCACTCCTTCCTGCTGTTACTACTATGGTCAACCTGTCCTTGGAAACTGGATATTTTGCTGACACCTGGAAAACTTTTGTGCTATACCAATCATTAAAAAAGCCCGGCCTCAATCTCCTGTTCAAGAATTTTTGTCCAATAAGCAACTTGCAGTTTGTGTCATAATTAACAGAGCATGTGGTGGCCTCTCAGATTCAGTGTCACATGATTAACAATAACATCTTCCTTCAATTATTGCAATCTGCTTATTGCTCCCATCACAGTACTGAGACTGCATTGTTAAAGGTAACGAACAATCTACTCATGAATATGGAGAAGAGCCGTGTATCACTCTTCCTACTACTGGATTTGAGTGCTGCCTTCGACACCGTTGACCATGGAATTTGTGTGCCTGGTTTGGAGGGTTGTCCAATACTGTCGACTGGAATCCAGTCGTATCCCCATGCTTTCCATTGGAAAACCGGAGTATAGTGGTACTGTGACTAGAATCCAGTGGCATCCTTGTAGTTTCCATTGGAAAACCGGAAGTCTAGTGGGTTAAAGTCGTACCAAGTTCATCGGATCCATTGGACATGAATAGATTCCAATGGGAAAGTTTGTTTTTCTATTTACGAGGGACTTAGGGAAATTCTACTCAAGTTGGATTAGGGGGTAGAAAATCGTTCTGATGGAATCCATCGGATCCATTGGAATCGAAAAGTACATTTTCTATTCATGAGAGACTTAGCAAAATTTTACTCATGTTGGATAAGGGATTATAATCAAATCACATGGTTAAAAATGGGCTTGAGAAATACAGTGTAAGTATGATGTGGGAATTGATTTTCTGTGAGAAAAGTCTTTATTGCATGGCTGTAGCGAAACAAAGATGGGAACTGGTCTTAGAGGAAGTTCAGAGTTTTTGAATAAAGAAGAATTGTCAGGATGTCAAGCTTTTATCTTTAGTTTACAATTATACTGAAGTATTAAAATGGAGGGCCTCTTAAAATGATGCTGGAAACTATTGACATCAGACTTGAATTTCTGCTGATACTGTGCGGATACCGTGTTAAATGAGTTTGCACTGTCGAAAATTAATAGCTGCTACAGAAAGGAAAAGTGCAGCTTTCTTTTATGTCATCAGTCTGTAGAGTTTTCAATGATCTGGCTGGTAGACAATGCTGTGAGAAATTTGAAGGCTCTTTTTGCTGCTGGAATTTTATTTGCCAAGAGAAAGCTCCTGAAACTTTGCAAAAGGATGAGTCAATTAGATGTAAGGAAACTGTTTTACAAGCATACTATAGCAGTTTAGCTGGGGATTGATGAACTTTGCACAAATTCACACGAAAGTTGAAGTTGAAAGTTGAACATGAAACATGGAAAAACAATGTCCTGGTAATCAAAGTGGTCAGCACTATAACCCTTGATGTAAAATAGCACCAGGTGTTTTTTTTTAAAGGTGAAAAAAATTGAGCTTTAAACACTGATGAATAATGATCCTTATTGTCCTGGGGGTTATCTGATTTTATGTATCAGTGAGAGTTTGAATGGACAAAAGCACTTTTGGGCTGTGGTAATTGAAACCTGTTGCAGGATGCGAGTTCACTTTGTGAAAACGTCAAGAATCAATTGTGCAGGTATATTGTAAATTGTGGCTAAATATTTTCTCAATATGTTTCATTCATCAATAGGTCTTATTGGCAGATGGTCGCCAAAGTTGGGTGAAAAATTGTAATCTACCCTTGAGGATAAAAGATTCCTTAAAAATGGTTGATAGATATCACCAACAGCCAGTACGTATTGATGAATTTGGGCAGCAACGCACAGAACTGAAGGAGTTTTCTATAGCATCAAGTTAGTGACGCGTGGGTTGGAGTGAAAACGTAAGACATGATTTGTGTTTCTTAAATTGCTTCTGCAAAAATAACTTGCCAAGTTTAACTAATTTCATGTCTATCACTACATTTGTATTCAACTGCTGTATTTGAAACAAAAAAATTCAAAGAAACACCAACATGTGTGCAGCATTGAAAGTCGTATGTAGTGTACTGTAGGTTAAGTGCACACCCTAGCTTTAAAAAACAGATGTAAAGTTATTGCCATTTTTAATTATTTTTTGTCTAATGTTGGAATTATTAATAGTTTGTGATAGAACTGGATTTGCTGTAGAAAATGAAAGAAGTGAAAAGGACATTCTCCTTCCATGTGGAATGGAGAAAGGCAAACACAAGTGCAAAAACCACAGGACAGCAGGTACATGAAGAAAGCACCTTGATAGGTGAAGCTATACAACATTATGAATATAGAGGTGTCATTATAACTGTAAATTGATGGGGGTATGAATAAAATTGTTATGCAAAATAATCAAACAAACTTTATTTCTTACAGGTATCCTGGCTATCGCCAAACCCTGTTCTGTTGTTGTTGATATAAAAGAATTATATGGGTCAGAGAGCAAGAACCAAGTGTATGCACATCTGCATGAACTGCTGTCCAAGGATGAAATGACTGCCATAGGTAGACAAACATACATATATCTTTTATTAGGTTTGTTTAAATCAGCATAGTTACCATTATTACAGGTGAATGGTATGGAAGAACTTTTACTTAAAAACACTTCTTGAAAGTTAACATTCATCTGTGTGTCAACAGTGCTATGAAAATCAGTTGCTTCGGAAAATTTAGGTTTAAATCATTTAGTTTGTTAGCTTGTTGTGTATCCTTGGTTGCTTTAAATAATATTAATATTAGCAAGTAATTTATTGTCGGCAAGCATTGTTTGTTTGCCTTTTCAAATTAGGAATTTAAAGGATAAAACGGATAACTACGTATCTACATATCCAGCTCTTTCAGGAATAGAGATTGGAAATGGCGGAGTATTCCGTGGTAAAGACGAAACAAAAATCGGAAAAAACGTAGGGGTAAAGGCGAAAAAACTCTTAAATCCCTGTTGTTATGGCACACGCTACCCAAAGGATCACAGGTTCCGTCCACAAAGCATGAACATTCACACAGGCATGTCCCATGCAAAACGACACGAGAATAAGGAGTCCGAAAAAGATCGGTGTCTCTCGTTGCTTCATCCCTTTTCCCAAGAGTTTACATGCCTAAAAGAAGGAAACATGAAATTAGTAAACAATGAATTACTGTTAAAAAAGGAGATTTGTCTAAATGCGTTTTTTTAGCTTACCTCCTGTATAGATAGAGGAAGGAGGTTCCAATTGATATCATGTTCATGAAAATCGTTAAGATTTTATCCAGATGATGAACATGATTAGCAGTCATGTTGACCAAGCAAGATTTCTACCCTGGCAGCAGATACTGAGAATGATATACCGAGCGCACGTGCAAACAGTAGAATGACAATCAAACAAAAGATGCTGAGTGTGTATTTTGTCCTTTGACTATTTCAATACCCTTCTTTACTACGGCATTGCCAATTGTTTAATTGTGAAAACTAGAAGGTGGATTATAACACAAGGTAAATGAAAGATTTCACTGTTGTGTGTTTTGAGGAAGGGGATAACGTCACAGGTATACCCATTTGGGACGAGATAATTTGGACCGGTCAATGACATGTGAAAAACATTTGCATTAACTTGAACGGTACAAACTGTACGCATTGATATAATAACACAAGAATCGCATTTGAATGGCGA